GTCTGCCCGTCTGCCCGTCTGCCCGTCTGCCCGTCTGCCCGTCTGCCCGTCTATCGTCTGCCTGTCTGCCTGTGATTTTGTCAATTTGTTTGTTTGTTTTCCTGTGTGCCTGCCTGCCTGTCTGTCTTACTGCGTGTCTGTTTGTCTCGTTTATATCCATGTCTCTCTTTCTGTATGTCTGACTTTCTTTCTTTAAAAAAAACTATTACCGTTTTTTGCTCAGAAAGTTTCATCGAAAATGGCGACTGGGCCATCATGGGCATTGACATAGACATTGGCGAGACCGACCACGGTAACTGCTGTCCATACAAGTTCTCTCAGATATCTTTCACCATCACCATGGAACGGAAATACAGTTATCAAATGTTTTATGTGGTTGCACCCTGCCTCATAATGTCCATCCTTACSCTGGTCAGCTTCTGGATCCCGTCAGAGAGTGGGGAGAGGATTGGTTTTGTTACTACACTCTTGCTAGGCATGATGGTATTTTTGCTCATAGTTCCAGACTCACTTCCAGAGTCTTCAAGAGCAATTCCAGTGCTGGGCGTTCTACTGATGTGCACTTTAGTTCTAATCTCTTTCGTGCTACTCGCCACGATTGCAGTCCTGCGATGCTTCCACACCGAAGGAACCCCGCCAAAATATTTAAGATGGCTTTCGAAATCCACAGTGGTAAATGATAATGGAGCATTTGAGATTGTCGAGCTGGACAGACAGAAACCAAGCGTGGCCACTTTAAGGGCCGTCCAGCCGTTTCAAGCGGATCCTGCTGTCAAACCGGGCACACCGAGAACTAAAGGCACCGCTACCGTGTCATGGCAAGGAATCGCGTGCAGACTCGACACCATATTTTTCTGGTTTTTTCTTGTGGTGTATGTCGTGGTATACGCTGTGTTGCTAACTGCTAGAGGTTAGACTTGAAAACAACATTTAGTATTGTATCTCCATATTAACTCTTTAATATATATTGTCACGTGGGACGTCAATCACAACACATTATTGCACCAATCTAGACGTGTATAAAACCAATACTTAGAGAACCGAAGCACAAACTGTTGCATTTATTTTTCATTATTGATCGAATATAGCACTTTTCTCCAAATGTTGTAAAAGGGGGCCACTAGTTTGTGAGATAAAAAATGAAATTAAAGCGAGTTACTTTGATGATATGACGTCAGATCGCCACGCACGCTTTGATTGGTTCACAGTTGTGAGAGCAGAAAACGTTGCCACATCATCTGCACATGCGCACCCTACTTTACAAAGAAAGGGAGACCTTGGGCGTAATATTTTCCCCATTTCAGACCACGTGTCATTTTCTTGAGAATAAGAATTTTGCTTTCGATTTTTGCTCACCCATTTTAATTTTAACCTGAAGAATTTAGAAGAACAATAAATGAAGTACATTCCAGCTCACTTAGATTGTAATTAGAACTATAAATAGCCAAGTCATCCATTAGATCTACACACTGAGATGATGAGGTGGGGCACCTCGAAACATGTCTGGTCATAAACCGAACAGGTTTAAAATAAATAAAAATGTCTTCCTAACGATCAATCGATCCTAATCCTCAAGAGAATGACGTAGTCTGAAATTGGAAAACATTGTGCCCCAGGTAAAGAGGTGTAATTAAAATAAAATAATGTGTGAAACCTACTGCAAGAGCTAGGAGAAGAATATAAAACACTAGACGAAGAGAAGAAGCAGAAATGAATGGAAGACAAGAAGAAGAGACCAGAAGACGAGAAAAGATGAAACGTCGCAATTTGTGGTAAGTTTTTAATAGTTCATAAGAAAACTAGCGAATATAAACTACAATATCCAGCTGCGTCGGAGTATAAAGAACAAATGATGAATCTTATTTTAAGCAGGTTTAACACCGTGTAATAATCAAACGCGCCCTATGGCGAACTCGTGGATACTGATACACCTCTATAGCTTCGGCGTAATGTTTTGCTGCACTGGCTGGATACGGTAAATCGTAAGTGTATCATTGCTTATCGTCCGAGTCTACCATTACTAGTTACTAGTAAACGCCCATAACTCGCTTGTTTCCTGCCCGATTCTTCTTAATCTTATATATCTTTACCATACGCTGTTTTACTTCAAACARCCTATGAATACAAAAAATATGAATTACTAGCTATAGTCATTTATTAGCTTTATTTTTTTGCATGCCCAACTTTAGCTACAAGAACTTCGACGTGCAGTTTTATTTAAAGGTCTYTAAAAAGGTTATTCATCTTCATGCATTCTCTAAGCTTAAATCAGTTATAGTTGTTTCTTCCATTTAATAATTCATGCAATCATTTAAGATTTTCTAAACTAGTCTACCCTTTGCAATCTCCAAAGCTATGAATAGATGCGAAATCGAATGCTGCAAAGTAGCCTTCCGCCTTGATGGCGTGTAACTAGCGGTTAAAAAAGATCAGCAGCATCGTTAGTACAGACAGGGCTAGAATGACGCCGAAGAGTACCCAGTTCAGCCTATCAGACATCTCATGCCACTTAAACTCTTCCTTTTCGTTCGAATCCTCAGTGAAGGCCATTCTTGGTTCCTTACTAGGCATGCGCACTGGTTCTTCCATGTCAATCATCTCGGTAGAATCATCCTGACCATGGTTGACCTTACCATTGTCTACTTCTCTCGGAATCTCTGGTGAAATGCCAACTTTTCTTGCTGGGCACTTCTGCTTCTTTTGACAGAAGAGAATTYGGATTACAGACGAGGGTGTACCTTCACTGTGATAGCATTTCAAAATCACAATCGTTGCCACGAGAACAACTGCTATGAGGATCAGGAATGTTATCATCAGAACTCCAAGAACAGGAATCTCGTCCGAGGTTTCGGGGAGATACTCAGGGATCAGAAGGAGAAACACCATCATTGTCAACAAGATCGTGGTGACGAAACCGATTCGTTCTCCACTCTCGGTGGGGATGAAGAAACTCATGAGGGTCAGAATACCAAGGATGACCGATGGAGGCGTCAAGTAGAAGAGGAGATAAGCTGGTTTACGAGCGATAGTGATGTGGTAGCTGATAGTGCTGTAGTTACCATCGCAACAGTTGCTATGGTCGGTTTTTCCWGTGACGTATCTGATGGATTTAATCTCCCACTCTCCGTTTGAAGGTAGAACTAAAAATAGAGAAGAAATAATGGTTGTTGAGTTTAAGTTTTAAAATGTATCTTAGCTACGACATTTTTTTATGTTATTTTGTTTYGTTTTGTTTGTCCAATCAGAATGCTCGAAACAGTACTGTGCTWCTGTCACGGTCACAGCACGGTACGTCCGTACGGTAACCTAAAGTTCAGTGAACTTTCACTTCTAGGGCTCAATCCTGTTCCTGTTCTGTCCTGTAGAGTTTGTTAGGCCTCTCGCTTGATTTGARGGTTTTTCTCCGGGTTCTCCGGTTYTCCTTGCAAGTCCTTACTCCCGTAAGACCTAACAAGCTAAATTTCAATTCCATCTGTGAGTTAGCCGTGTCTTGGCTTAGGCCAGCCTAAAGTTTGCTTYAGCTTGCGTATCATTCATATGAACATCACCTCACCTGCACCACTGTCGTTCTTTAACGTATGCGGCTCGATCTTCATCTCGTGATCGAAGTACGTCCACGATCCAAAGGTCAGCGTACACACCTGCTCATCTATTGGCCAGTACTTAACATTCATCTTACAGTTACTGGTGTACGTTTTAGGAGTAAACCAAAGGCAGTCACCGCTTTTTTTCACGTAAACGTTGGTCACGTGTTTACTTGGTAAGTTTTTTAGGCTGTCAGGKCYGTTAGCGCTAGCGGAGAAGAAAAAATTATATGTACACTCAATTGAAGAATCRTTGTCGGGTTCAGAAACATAGAACATAGAAGCTGAGACCGAAATGGCACATGGGAAGTACGTTAATTAGATGCATGTTGTGACCGGCGACCCGTGRCATCATCCACTGTTTTTAATACGCRTTTGGCATTCTAAACCGACTGCATGGATGGTGCAATTGAATAAATTATAATATAATTATGTCATTTCCCATGTGCCATCTCGGTCTCACCTTTTATGTTCTATGTTTCTGAACCCGACAACGATTCTTCAATTGAGTGTATATACAGCGGTTTGCATAAACTTTGACCCTTTCGTATATATATATATATATATACAAGTATATCAAACGTAGATCAAAAATTATGGGTGACCATCCTTGATATTCTTTTACGAGCTGTCTGTCACTAGGAATTTCTGAAAAAACGTTACAGGGATTACATCGCCATAATTTTTGATACACTTTTGATATACTTGTAAACTATACAATAGTCCCCTTCACAGTTCCCTGCGCCATCTTGAAAGGTAGCCGTGCCTTTGCATCGAAGCGAGACGAACGGTGAGCTTGCAATGATAAAGACCTTTTTTTAACACCTTGAACAATTATTCACATGTCACTATCATTGCAAGCTCACCGTTCGTTTTGCTTCTATGCAAAGGCACGGCTACCTTTCAAGATGGCGCTGGTAACTGTGAAGGGGACTATTGTTTAATTGATAGCTGCAACTTTTATTGGATGAAGCATTAGTGCATGATATACTATTATCAAAAAAGGTTGGTGACGGTTTTTGTTTTTTGTTTTTTGTTTTTTTGTCTTTGTTTTTGTATAACAAGCCCGCTGTGCATTCTTTACTTTACCGTTGCTATCTTTAAGTATTTTGACACTGAAATGAGGCTAGCCCTGAGTAAATGAGTCTGTAATCAAAGAACACAGAGGTAATATCCAAATTCGAAAATAATCTATTTCTGAGCCGGATCGACGTGCGCAATAGACGTAGAATGTATTATATTTTTTTAAATCCCACCTGTTGTAGAGCGTAATATCGGGTACCCAGATTTCATCSGGGGCAAAGATAGTCCTTCCAACTCCACCAAAGTCGCTGAGTTTCCACTTRAGATATTCATCTGTCCAAGCCTAGAGATAACAGCAAATGAAATATTGCGTATAATAGTAATTGAAAGTACAATTGATTTGGCATTTCATTTGATTTCAAGGCACTCCTATAATACTTGATGGCACACATTGATCTTATGGATTTGGACTTCAKTAGACTGAATCCATATTTTCCCCCGCTTTTTTCTTTTTTTGCATCACGTGTCATTCCCTTGAATGGTATTTCTTTCCAAATAAAAAATATTATTCTCAAGGGAATGACACGCCGTCTGAAAAGGCTTAACATTGGAATGGATTTTATAACGTATATATTCTGTCACTGGGACAAGTGCGACCATAGACCTAATCCCCTTTTTTCCCATTTCAGACCACGTGTAATTCCCTAGAGTATTATTTCTTTGTTTAACGGCTGCACACGAGAAGACACATGAATATGGACACAACTCGAACAGAGAATCTTATTATTCTCAAGAGACACGTGGTCTGAAATGGGCAAAACATTACTGTACGTCCAAGTTGATTTGGTCCATTAAGTTATATTTTAATTGTTTCAGGTACTTTAAAGTGCGACAATTGAGTTTCAAAGTGCGAATAAATATTTCAACACTAAGCTCCATGTGCTTGACGAGAATCAGAAGCAGAAACTCAAGTTATTCCAGCTTTTCTCTGATCTTAGGAGGACCTATCGTCTATCACTTATTGCATTTCGCCTTGGGTTCCAAATACCTTTCTTAAAATACGTATATCAGTATGAAAAAAACAGAGACCATTACAGCTTCCACATACAATTACCTTAACTTCCCATACGTCCAGAGACAAGGTTTCCTTTTTGGTGTCCTGCAAGTTAACAAAGGAAGTCTTTCGAATTAGCTATTCTTTGAAATCGGTAAATAAGTTTATGATAATTAATGATRATTAATAATTATGGGAAAATACCAGAGATTTTTCACTGGGACAATTTTCACTGGCATGGAATCAGTATATAAGTAAATAAAATAAATAAATTAGAATTAAAGTAGAACACGGTCCCTTAACGTACCACATTAACAAGGTTCGTAACGGACAGAGAAAATTTAACCAAAAGAACGAGCTTGGAACGATATTCCACTGGACCAATGATACGATCRTAATCTTGAAGTTTTTCCTTTCTGATCTTCACTTGTTTCTGATTGTGTTCCAGGTTTTTTCCTTCGATAACTGACAAAAATAAAGTGTTTTTCAATGAAATGGTAYGATTTTTATTCATATTCAGTAATGAATGCATGGACTATAGCCAAGGGATTTTTTTTTCTAGACCTAATCATAAAAAGATTACTTATTCGCAAAAAAAATCAAAATTCTTTTAAAATCAGCATCTTTTATAGAAAACAAATAAAGCTCTAGTAATGTTTTTCTCCAAAAACTAAAGCTTTTTAGCCATATTTTTTTACGATCGCTCTTTTCGTTTTCGGATCAGAGAGTGAAAAAACCGTGAAATTCGCCATTAGAATAGATGGTGAATACACAATAAAGAACAGATTGAAATTTGGCTGGAGCCCAAATTAAAAAATTTTTTTTTCAGAGTTGATTAAGTTGACAAAGGAAAATCAATATCAAAATTATTATTGTTTTTGAATTTTTGAAGAAAAGAGCTACTTTACAGCTGGCGGAAATACCAAAAGTATTAGAATTAAAATTGAACTAACTAGCACTGTTTTGTCGTGTCTAGTCTTTGACAATTCAACGAGAACAACAACAAAAATTCCCAGTGTATAAGACATTTAGCTATTAATCTCGAATACCAACTTCATGGTTGATTAATTAAAAATGTCTTTGGCAAAAAAAAAAGTTTGTTAAAGGCTGTTCAAAAGCTATTGTTCCGGGCCTACCGCTCTCGGTATAGGCTTTGGGATCATATTCTACTCTCTCTCGAACTGATTACATGAGCTGTTTATAATGATTCTATGACAGGTGTCAATGTCTAATCAAGTGATAGTGTGCGTGATGGTAGCAGTACTGAAATATAATATCGATATTTTTATATGACTAATTGGTCATTCTTTATCTTGTTTTCAGATAAGTAATGGTAATTACAAAACTGATGTCTTGCTTAGTCTGTAAAAACATTATTTTCTCTCTCATAATGCACCTATTAATGTATTCCCCCAACGGGGAGAGCCCGGGCATACACAGGCTATTGACATAAGAACCTTGCCCATGACAGGGGCTGCAAGGCTTTTATTGACACTTTTTTTTTTCTTTTTCAGAGTAAAACCCTTAAAAAACAACATTTTTATATGGCCCTTATGAGGGTCTCATTGACAATTTTTTTTTCGTTCAAAGATGTCAATAGCCCTTGGGTATGCCCGGTCTTCCCTCATTGGGTCAAGACTTTGATAGGAGCATAACACTATTACACTCAAATACAACACTTCTTGATTCCACGTCTTCGAATAGGTACGCGGTAAAATGGCGTATCACTATGATTAATGTCAAAAATTACAAAAAAGTTTTCTTAACTGCCCCGAAAAATAGGTCATATATATATTAGTCAGAGATATAATTGAACTTGAAAACACTCCGCTAAATAAAGTGTCTTCGTCTGTCCTAATTGTGCGATTTTTGCTTTTTTGAAATTTTTTTAAAAAAAAGATGGCAAATTAAAACCGTCGGAAATATGGTTGCTATTGATTATAAATTTAGTTGAATAGATAATGGGAGATACCTCTTTATGAGACCAAAATAGCTTGGGAACAAATATTTAAAAAARAGCATGATTAGACTAATCAAGTATACAAGTGAGAAATTCTAAATTCCTAGAAATATGAAGTTGTTAAGCGTTAGGTTTGAAAAATATTTTTGAAAACTTTAGCACCGAGGTCTTGACGCGAGAATCATTAGGTTATGACGCTCGCTTTTTTTTCTTTTTAGCTTTTAAATGACTAAAAATATAGTAACAATGGACCTTACCGTTTAGCATAATTAGGAACAAAAATACAAGACCTGTGATCAACTTCATCATCCTCAACCCAGCCTTCTTGATTTCTAGAAACACGTTCTACTCGAATGCGTGCTAAAACTGAATCGAACACTCCTGCAAAGTAGGTTATACCGTATTTTCATTGAGTTTAATTATTAAACTTGGCAGTAAAACAATCGAAGGTCGTTAATATTTTAGAACATTTTTGGCGCCGCAATGTCGATGAAATGTGAAAACCAATCGAAATATATAATTGGCAGAAAAGCCTCATTTTGAGGTTCTTTCATTCTTTTATCTTTGAAGAAGTTTTAGTAATTAGAGTACTGGTGGTCGACAATTGATGGAAATAAAGTTTAAATTTTACGTTAAAATTCAATTATTGTAAATGAACATGAGAAAAATTCAAACTGAGAATTGAAAGCCAAAATCTAATAATCGCACCCTTCCACGGTTTTTTCAACTTTTTACATAGACTGTAGTTAGCAAAAATCGATAATGCCAGAAAAAGCACCTCAAAAAGAGTAATTTTACCAAGTTTGAGAGTGATATGTTGGAAACAGCAGAAGATATTGATGGGTTGCAACCATTCCCAAGAGAGTTAAAAGACAAAAACATGGCGGCCATTGTGGTACCGTTCACAATGGTTGCTAATGAGAAATCTTTTGTTAAATGGTACCAACATGGCCGCGATGCAATCGAAGAATAGCCATGCAAAGTCATTTTCATCACCCTCTAACTTGGCAAAATTGCTAAATTTGAGGTGCTCTGTCCATTGGTGTTGATCGATTTTTGCTATCTTGGTGTTATCAAAAATTGGGGGGGGGGGGGGCGCGGAAGGGGGTCTATTGCGCTCATTGTTTTAGTTTGTTTACTGACGCACTTTGAGTGTTTGGTTTCTCAGTGAGTCGGTGAAAATATAAAGAT